AAAAAAAAAAAAAAAAAACTAAAATACCAACAAGGGCTCCTCACGAATTCTACCTTGTTCACCCCTAGCTTGCACACTGCATCACATATTTGTTTTGTGATGTCAAAAAGTGTTAGTTTTGATGCGGCCACTTCTTCGGCAAGAATAACCTGCAACAATGATAAAAACTCTCAAAAACACAGAGGAAAACTCAAGTATCTAGCAGTGTCGCTGTTTCATCAGACTATCAAAGAGGAATCAAAGTACAAACCATATTGGGGTGAGATTGGAGAGTGCATTCCAACGCGATATGTGAAGCCTTCCGCCCCATGAGATGAATAAAATAATAATACTGCAAATGGATGGAGAGAAAGAAGAAAATAACGAAGATGAGTTGTACAAGAACTAACAAGAATATGAAATATGCACATATCATGTCTTCTAAAGACCAAAAAAAAAAAAAAAACGTTGTGGGCAGCCATCAGAGTTCTATATGACCTCCAGACATTTCGAGTTTCAACTGCAAAATGAATTATTCAAATTCTCTCTTCGTGTTTTAAGAATCCAAATTATTAATAGAAAGACACCTGAAGACACTCATTGAAACTCCATAAGGCAACCTGAAAACAAGAGCAGAAATAATTGACATGAAACATTTACCTTCTCTGCCGAGAGTGCATCAGTGCAGACATTGCTAATCAACTGGGAATTAACCTGCAATACATAAACAACATAGAAAAATCACTTCATTGTCTAAGAAAATAAACAACTAACTCCATTTCATTCTTGTCCAAGAGCTTTCATTTCATATTATCTGATGATAAACTATCAAAAATGGGAATCAAACTTTCATCAAGTTCGATATCCACTAACTACAGAGTTAACCAGACTCGCACATGTATCAACTAAAAAACACCAAATCAAAGGGGTATATAAATTGAGTGGAGACATAATGGCTCACATTTCAATCACATGTCAACCCCCAGACAGCGAGGGAGAAAATGCTATCAACTAACATAACAGCAGGAAGAAAGTAAACAAGAAGCCATAACTGAAGTCTATTACCTTACAAATTGTATCAAACCCCACATTTGCCTCAACAAATTGATTTTTAAGATCTCCATTTAAAGTAACAGGAATGCCAACAACCTGTTCAAATTTAACAAACATTTAGCTCAGCAACAGGACAAAATAATAACACAAGTCAAATGAAAATGGCAGGCTGGCAGCATTGTTCTAGTGGGTTAAAGTTGATAGACCCTGATATAAATTAAATAAAAAAATATAAATCTATACAAGGAGACTCAGTGACCAACAATAAAGTGAAATAGAACCAAGCAATATTATGATGATACAGTGGGTGATGCAATATACTTTTGTCGGGCACTTTCTTTCTGCAAAAGTCTCTGAAAGCTGGGCAGCATCTGTGTTTGATGTCACCCCTTCATAAACAAAACACAGGAATCAAGATACTGTATTAATTTTTACATGCTAGCTTTTTTCTGTGCCTGAAAATCAAAAAGTATACCTCCAATAATTACAAGAGCATCAAGCTTCAAAGTTGTGCATGCATTATGTGCTGCATTGACTTGTTCAGTCGTTCTGATTTGATCTTGTGTCCGTCCCAACAAATCATAACCACCTTAACAACATAAAACCTAATCAGCACAAGTATTAAATATTTAACGTCTACATCAGGATTTATATGGACAAACTTACCTTGATTTTTGTATGTTGCAAGAACCTCGTCAGTAACCTCTAATGTTTTCTGTGCAAATAAACCTTCTGAACCACCTGGTAGAACATAATTGTAAAAGACTAAAACATTAATCTCTAATTAAAGATACTGCAATGATCTGTCTAAACTCTAAAGGAGGAAATGCATGTAAAGGACTCAAGTGCGATAAACAACACAACAATCAAAATATACTGATTGAGCATACATAAGTACTACGGGCTACGGAAAACATCAAAACCTTCCATTGAAAATCAGTGAAATAAATACAAGCACGTACATGTGAGATTTAAAAGGACAGAATCTCATCAATCATAAAAAAATTACAAGACTCTACCTAGAAATCCATGCAAAACACTTTTAGGATTGTGGATTTTAAGAGCTTCCAGAAGACCCCAAACAACATTGTGTCCTCAAGGAGATTGTCTACCGCAGAAAACCACTCCTACCCTGGGAAGTAATAAAGAAAGGCGAGCAAAAACCTAGTTCAGCATAAAACTGTAATGCACAAGATTACCCTCTGAAATGTTGGTATTCCAAATATAACACTCTAAATCCATTCAAATAATAGAACTGACTAGTCAGTTGTATATATACCTAAATGCAGGATGCTCCGTAATTATCTGACCATCAGGAACCTTGGCAGTTGCCCTCAGAAAGTGAGCTATAGGTTGACCATACGTGTGAGGAAAAGACCTACTTATGGTGTGGGAACCTGTGGGATCCGCAGCTGTGGTGGCGTCACCAAATTCTACACGAACAGTAGTGCCCTATCCAAATTTAATGAGAGATTGTGCAAAAATGAATTAGAAACGTCAGTGCATGGTCTACACAAGCGATCTACCTCAATAAAAAGACAAGTACAAGCAGCATGAGTGAAATTCGCATGGATATTCAAACACAGGCAAGCGAGAGCAGAATTGGCAGTCACAACTTTGTACGAGTATCGTAGGCACATTGCTCAAATGGCTTTAAAAGGCAAAACCATTTCAAAACCCAGAGAAGAAAATGGATTGTTTTACGCCAAGACAATGGTCAGCACTTACTGTTGATAGATCGGAGTTCAGACTCCAGTGAGCCAGACTGAAGAAAATAGTAATGCACGAAGCAGTTTGCTTCACAGGGAGTAAACTCTTACAATTCTTTTAACCCTCAATCGTTGAGCTAATAAACAGTAACTATTAGCCAAGGCAACATCAGCACTACTTGTACTTCTCACGCAAAAAAGAGATATGGTACTAAATCCATCCAACCCATCAATTTCCAAACATAAATGATTCCTACAGTTCACGGTCTACATAGATTTATTCTGACACTTACACCACAAAAGCTAAAAGAAGTTCAACAATAAGATCCCAAACAAACCAAGGACACCCTTTGCTTACAATAGCAATTCCAAAAAAAAAAAAAAATCAGCGTCAGGCAGCAGATCCAACACGCAAGATCTATTCTCCCACAACGTTAAACGCTAAACCCACACCATATTTGCTGATTTAGGTAAAAATATCGATGCCAAATCTCAGTTCGCAAAACCAATCCAACATACATCAGAAATCACAACACAAATGTGAACAGTAAAATAGAGCCGAAAACACAGAAAAAATTAGTAATTCGAGAGGACAACAATTTCGAACAAAGAAAGAAGAACAAGGATCGGGACCTGAAGGCACGGCGGGAGCTCAGGTTTGTACAGAGATCGAAGCTTCTGCAGATCGGAAAGTTCTCTGGCTACTCCGTAATCGGAATCCATTAGCTCTCACTCGATTTTTCTCCGGCGAACCTCTGTGTTGTGATATACACAGCCGTTAGTTGTCAGTGTGGGTTGTTATATAGCACGAAGGTTATATATATATCAGCATCCGACACCGTGCCTTTCTCCCTACTTATTAATTGACGAAAATGCCCTCCACCTTTTTTTTTTGGATAATTATAGTTGAAATTTATGTTAACTTGACAACTCATAAGTTAATTTAAAGATTGCAATGATGACTGAAAAGTTAGTTGATATAATAAACATGCTTGTTAAAATTAGTTTATAAGGCAGGTATATAAAAATTTTAACTAACTTTTTTGTAAAACTATACAAAGAACTTATGAGATACTTCGATCTTTTGAAACGAAAGACTTATTATACCAAGCAAGTATAGATACTTTACAAAGAAAGCTTATCTCACCTAATCCCCCTCGCATTCTTCTCTCAAAAAATAATTAAATTGGTCGTTCAACCCTTTTGTCTCTGATAGCGGTCGGTCCTTCCGTAGAAAACACAATTCTCTCTCACCTTCTACGCCCGTCTCTCCCTTGATTTCCGCTTTTGGGCTCGGTCTTGAGGATTTTTTGTTTTAGTTTGTTTTCTTGTGTGTAAGGTGTTGACATAGAACTTCTAGTCATGGTGAATTTGGTGTTGGGTATTCGAGAAAGCCCTTAAGTACATGGTGGTTCAATCACTATATTAGTTTAACCGATTAAGTTATGTTATTTAGAAGTTCTCTCACACAGTCTTGTCTATCTTAGATAGCAGTGGCAAGTTGTATGAGAGACGGGAACTTTTGTAGTTATGTTAATTAAGCTATTTTAGGTGGTTACTAGGTAGCAATATTTTTATTTAAAAAAAATATATATATATAAATACAAAAGCTCATAAGTTAACTAAATAAGCTATATTGTTGTCTTATGGTATTTACTAAACATAATTATAGAAATATAATCTAATCATATACTTTTATTTTTTATAAATACAATTTGTCAATTGAATTACATTGTGATTAATGACGAGCTACACGTCTTTAAGGTTAAGTAAAATATTTTCAAAAAGCAACGGTTGAAATAGTATAATAATAATAATAATAATAATAATAATAATAATAATAATAATAATAATAATAATAATAATAATAGTTTTTTAATTGCCAAAATTAAATAATTTTTATTGTGATGATTAGAAGGGCAAACTTTGTAACATATCTTAAAATTTATAAGTTTTAAAAGAGGAAAGTAACAAAAAATTATAATTTTGATAACGACTATAGACATGATGTAAAAATAATCAGTGGGTAAATCCACAGATTGTAAAGCGAAATATATTTATCCTCTGTCTGAATTTGACAAATGTATTTTCATTTCCCTTTTCCCCTTAAATATAGTTTTTTTATAAAATAAAATAAAATAATCAAACCCGATAGCTTCATCCGTAGAATATGCCGATACCACTAATCGTTAGACAACGTATACATCAAGCATTATAAGTAGAGTTGTAAACGAATCGAATCAAAGCGAATACTCAGAGATTCGATTCGATTCGTTTAAAATATTCGAAGATTCGATTCGATAACGAATTCATTTTTTGATTCATATTCGATTCGTTTAAGATATTCGAACATATTCGATTCGATTCGAAATTCGTTTTCAAAAAAATATTATAATTACAAAAATAAATTTTATTTTTCATATATTTTTAGAAAATTTTGTTAATTTATGATGTTTTTATTTTTATGTCATAAAAATAGTAGGAATATAACCATATACATATATATACACATATATTATAAACAAAATGTATATTATATATAATTTGTATAAAAATATTATAATTAAAAAATATTATAATTACAAAAATAAATTTTAATTTTTCATATGTTTTTAGAAAAATTTGTTAATTTATGATGTTTTTAATTTTTATGTCTTAAAAATATTATGAATATAACAATATATATATATATATATATATACATATATTATAAACAAAATGTATATTATATATAATTTGTAAAATTTATATAATTATAGTTAACGAATCGAATATTCGAATTTCGAATCGAATATCTACACATTCAGATTCGAATTCGTTATAATTTCGAATCTAAAACATCATTCGAATTCGACTTCGAATCACGAATCGAATAAAAAATGTTTGATTTGTTTACAACCCTAATTATAAGTGAGTGGAAGTAAGAATTAAAAAAAAAAAAAAAAAAAAAAAAAAAAAAAAAAAAAAAAAAAAAACAAAAACAAAAACAAAAACAAAAACAAAACAAAAAAATCATAGTGAAATGTTAGAGAATCTATGAAAATGTGGATTTAACTTAGAGCTGTAAACAAACTGAACGTTCGCGAACAAAAGCTCGTTCGTTTATTAATCAAGTCAAGTTCGAACAGAAAATTAAGCTCGTCTAATAATCGAACGAACACAAACTCGTCCACGAACATTCGACAATGTTCGCGTACATTAATTTAATATAATTTTATTTATTTTTTTATATATTTACATAATAGTTTTAATAAAAAAATCTAAAATGTATAAATATTGTTGTTTTATTTTTCGAGTTCGAACGAACTCGAATTTGACGAACAATTAACCAAACAAGCTCGAACACAATTTTTTGCTCAAAAACTAAATGAACGAACACCAATACTGTTCGAACGTAGACGAAAACGAACTCGAACAGCCCAAGCTCGGTTCGATTCGGTTCATTTACAACACTAATTCAACTCATTGGAGATGTTGAAACCATATAAAAATTTAAAAGGAGGTGCGTTTTGCCAAGACTAATCCGAGGTGCTCTGATAACAAAAAAATAATGTCTAGCAATGGTGAATTCTCGAGAAATTAGAGAAATTTTCTAACCATAAACGATATTGTATTGCATTAAGTCAGAGGCACAATGGAAACACTTTTGGCTTCTTAAGATCTTATTTAGATAGTAACTTGGTGAGTACACATATTCTCACCTATCAGGGAATAAGGAAAGAACAGAAGATTAGTTTTGAAGTCTTCAAACATCGTAGAGGAACGATAGGATTATGCATTAACAAGTTCAGATAAAACAGCCTTTTGTGGTGATGAGATTATGAACAGAAGTTGCTGGCAAACCTTGAACACCCTGCCCGAGCCCTGTTTACCTGGAATAACAGTCAGGTGGAAGATAAAATCACAAACCACAAAGAAAGGAATTCGTTGGGCGAACGGGTAAAACTGCTTGAATCAACACAATGTCGACTAGGTGTCATCGTATAGGAAGAGTGAGAAGAATCAAAGTCAAACACCAACAACATTGGTGTGCTTCTTCTCCAAGAGGAAGCGTATTTTTCGCATGACCAAAAATAAAGATAGTAAGATTTCTACGAATGCAAAGAGCCACGGCAAGCCCCTTGCAGCCAATTGCTATGTTAAACAATTCAGAACCTGGTCAGTTGGAATGCTAGAATATTCAAAAAATAATGATTTACAATGGGTATGAGCTAACACAACTATACTCAGTTGATCCATATATAAAGATAAGTAAAGTCAGAAGAACGAAAAGTTGAGCATCGACTAAAACTGCGGACACTATTGCAACCATTCAAATTCGCCTGCTCAGTCGTCCAATGCTCGATGCTCAATAAAAGTAAGAAGAAATGAATGAAAATTTTAGCATTTCAACATAAGTCACAGTGCAGTAAAACATATCAGCAACTGAACCATAAACACTTTATTGGTGATTTAGTAGCTAAATTTCACTTTTGAACGCTACCCAAATGTAAACACTTCAAAGTAGGTTTCTCCAACACTAAACTACAGCAAACTTGACTTTCGAAAGTACGCTGAAAAACCACTTTCCTAGGAAATGCACCGGAGATAATACATAATTTGGATTGAGGGTAAGAATGTTTTGGAGAAACCAAGGTTGTCAGCAAAAGTATATGCAAAGAGATAAATAAAACGGGATATATAATGGATGGCATGCCCAGTAGTAGTAGTAGTAGAAAAATATATTGGTAAATGACGCTTATTCTTCTCCTGCAGTATGCATTGAATCCAGTTACATTCACCATAATTTTGCAGGCATATAAGATACTAAGCACGTGACCAACGTGAGATTCCAGAGAAAAACAACTGAAGAAAAGAGAAAAGTTCCCCAGTTTGTAAGCCACACATTTAAGGATGTATAGCTGCTATAACTATTAACCACAACAAGCATGAGACAGCTAGCAGAAGTGATATGCTAATCACCAATCATTCAAGTATCACCCAGACGATACAGACATAAAAAATCAAATTCAACACATAAAGAACTAGCAAAATCTAAACCACAAATACCATCACCAAGGCAAAACAATAATAAGCACTAGTCAACAGGGTAGCACAGAAGTACACAAACCAGATGAAAAGAAACAAAGAAA